GTGGAGGGGGGAGAGTGTGGCAGTCAGGACAGGTATGTAGGACACTGGGGGTGAGGGTGGGGGGTTGAGGGGGGAGGGTGTGGTGGTCAGGACAGGTATGTAGGACACTGGGGGGGGGGGGGAGAGGGGCTGTTTCCAGGCTAGTGTCATGTGATGAAATAAATCTGAACAGTAAACAAAGTCAGTGACATTGAAGACAATTGTCAGCTAACAGTGGCTTCATTTAGAAAACTAATGGGTGATTCTTGGAAGATATTTATTGGAAAGGCAACACCATTTTTTGTAAAGCGTATTATTTAATTAATTTAAAGCATCTCGAAGATTTCATGTACATGTGATTAGTCATGGAAAGAAATGATATCACACATTTAAGTTGTTAATGGCAAGAAAAAGAAAATTTTGTCAGTGTTCGAAGTGAAGATGTTTAAGTCATATATGATTCAATGAGGCAAATACTTAATTTGATATTATGATAATTCCAGGTCATTGTCATGAAGAGGACAATGGGCGTAGGTTACGCTGCCGTAGACAACCCAATCTTTTACAAACCCAACACATCCATGTTGCTAGGCGATGCCAAGAAAACGTGTGACGCACTATTAGCAGGAGTCCGTGCTCACTACGAGCAATAACACTAACTTCACTGATAGGAGAAATGCTAGCATTATTATTAGATATATAATATTTATATTGAAGATGTTGACATCTAGCAACTGCCAATTCCACAGCAGTATAACTTGCATAATGAGACACTAGCTTTGGAAAAAGACGTTGGGAAAAGGAGCCATTTTTTGCGGAAGCGATGTTGGTTTTTGTGTTCAGTGTGATGATGTTTATGTATGATGTAGACTGATTTTACCACGTGGAAAAACTTTTGATGTTCATCCTGAAATGAGACGGCTGATTGTTTCTGAGGATTTGCTATGTGGTAGGAGAAATATGCCAGACTTGAGAATGTTTTTGAGATCATGACAGTATTTATACACACAAATAATTGTAAACTGCTTGAGAAAATGATCATTTTAATGGAAAAAAAAAAATTGATCAATGAAAAATTAACCAAACATAAAAACTATTTAAACTGCTTGTTGAACAATTTCATGAGCAAATAAAAAAAGTTTCTCTGATCACAGGATTCATAAAGTTATCATGTGGTTTCCCAATCAGCAGAAAAAATGGTCATTTGTAACTTTGAGATTTACTGGCAAAGTGGAAGAAGATGTCTGTGGTCTTTGTTGGTTCTCGAATTTACCTCAAATTGTTAAGTTTACTTGGAATTTTTGCAGTAAGATGATAACAAAGTATGTAGATGCCTAATTTTTTTTTTTTTTTTTTTAGTATTTTGTGTAGTCACAAGTTTTTCACATTTGAATCACTGCAGTTGAAAGTAAGAGTGTAACGACTGTCTGGTCCTTGTTGTATCGTTTCTTTCAGTTTTGAATTCATTGTTTTCACTGTAGTCTAGTCCACATGTTAGAAACTCACACCATCTTGTGCTCTTGATGGAGTAAAACTTGCTGGAAAATAGCACCGTTTGTTTTCAGTTTTAAATGAGGAGTAGACAACAGAGAATTAGCCATCTGCTGTCCTTTCTGATCGTTTTTTTCCACGAGAAGGCAGCTTTAATGTGCTGTATGTTGATAGATAGGTTTTGCGTTGGATATCATTTCACGGGTCTAAAATGCCAATATTGTTTTCTGAAGTTTTCTACTGGATGCGATGCTGATGGAGCCATACTAATAAAAGATTGAATTTTTGTGACTTTATTTTCTGTTTTCTTGTCTTGAAATGTGATCGATTTTATTACCGTTTATTCTTAGAATAAAATTACGATTTTGTTATCAGTAATTGTGACTAAAGGCACACTTAAATAGCATCAAACAACTTAACAGAAGAATGCAATGAATCAGATATAATTAACAAGTGACAGTGCATTTATAGTCTTACCTTGTGGGAGATGGGATAAATTTCTTTTCTAAATTATCAAATCGTTTCAGTTGGACCTATCTGGACTTAACATGCTGCAGCTTAATTTACAGGTTGCAGTCAAAAAAGAATTGAAGTCAAATATTTTAAGTACAAAGCTGTCACTTTATTTACATTAAGACAAACCGTTTTGTCAGGTTTAAATACATTTGGTGCAGAAAAAAATTCAAAATGCTTAACACTGTAATTGTACTCATCATATGTACATTATTGGCGTTCATTGTATTACTTCATCTCCATTTTGCCCAGTTCAAACGCCTGCAGATAAATTATTGGAAACCTGTCCTACAGTGTAAATAACTGTGTAAACATCCCAGCATAGCCTGTGGGTATCAAATAGGACAACTTCCTCCATCATCTGGGTTTTAAACATCGTATAACAATATCCAGCAACTTTCTTCAGTTCTTCTGAACATCAGACAAAGGGAGATAGTCCTCTTCTATGTAACATGGCCAGCATTACCAAGAAATATTCGAATTTAATCTGCGTAACTATCGCCCAAGTAAACTCCAGCAAGATTTAAAAAATGAAACTGGCAGCAGAAAAAATTATTGAAAAAATCCCTGCAAATCCAATGTGCTGTTCATAAATTTGACATTGTTGTCCAACCTCAATATACCCAAGTAAACAATATATACATACTGGTTAATACAGATAAATAGAAACTTACTTTCAAATTTGCTTTAAGAATCATCTTGCATCACCTGCTGTGTGATCAAGAAAATTTTCGGCTATTCACTTAAGTTATTTCTTAATTTTTAGAAAAATAGTCCTGCATTAAATCAAGAAGAGAATCTCATTGGACAGCATAATCTGGTTATCTTCCATCATTACATCCACTGCGGCGTAGACATCCTCCTCGCTGAAAGGTTCTCCAGAATTTCCTTCATTAATGCGCTCCTTGACAACCGCCATATTGAGCGACTGTGCGTGTTGCTCCTTGAATAGGTTGAAGAGCGTTGCTTTGAAGGTTTTCAATCTGTAAGGAGAAATAAAGCAAATTGACAAAGTTTTAAAATAAACGAATCCATGAATTTCAACCTATTTCAGAAGAGTGTGTGACATCATTCTGTCAAACTTATTTTTTTCAATTACATTAATTACATTTTTTTTCCTCAAAAGAGAAAATTAAATTTTTGAACAAAAACAAAAAAATGCACAAAGCTACTTTACCTCTTCTCATCAATGGCTCCCTTAGATTTGCTCTTGTCTTGTGTCGTCTGCTGCGTTTCCATGGCTTCATCCCCACTCTGGCTTTGACTGCGTGATCTGCGGGCAGCACGTCGCGCCGCCAGGGACGGGTTCTCTTGTTCTGTGAGAAGAGAAGTTACAACTTTTAACTCAAACTTGTAATCAAGTACGATGTCAACATCCCCATAACTTATTTTAAAAATGGATAAAACAAGTCCTTATGCAAGATTTCCTCATTTTCATTAAATAACATTCATTAAAAATATTTTATTTTTTTGTTATTATTTCTTGTTGAAAATGTTCACGCAAGAAAACACAAGAAATGAGGATGCACACAAATGTGAGTGTGTGTGTGTGTGCGTGCATGATTGCGCGATTTCTTACCATCTTCACTAGCAGTTTCCTCATCATTGGTGTCAAAATCAAAAGGATCGTATCCCTCCTCTCCCGGCTTCCGTCTCGTCTTCCTCTCCCTTGGCTTGCCATCTTTGTCTTTCTTCCTGTAGACAGAAACTTGATTCTAAATATCACTGTATTCTTAATTTCAAATTACCAGATTCTTTTTTCATATATTATACTTACGTTGATAAGTGAATGAAATAATTTAAAAACTTTTTCTTATAACAAAACAAATTTCTATTTTATCTCCCCTGCTTGTCTCCCNCCCCCCCCCCCCCCCCCCCCCATAAACACCCTCCCACCCACCCCCACTTACTGCCTCTTCCTCCTAGCAGGCCTGTCAGGCTTTTCTCCCTTGTCATCTCCACCTTCGTCATCATCGTCCTCTGTGTCACTGTCTCCGCTACGGTGTCGCCTCTTTCTCAACTTCTCCTCCACCTTCTTGAAGTACGCAAACTGGATCAGCTCAATGGCGGACTGGGCGTCGTCCAGGGTGATGTTCTTGGACAGACGTGCCTTGGCGTGTGCCGTGGCCAGACGGATCATGGTTTCCAGGCAACGAGCTGTCACTGGCTGGGTCTAAAATCAAGAACCAATACTACACAACCAGAACGATTCATATTATTGACGTGAATTCATTACTTACTTTCAAACTATTTCTTTGCAGATTTTGTTATCATGAAATTTTACTTATCATTTTGTTTGGACATAAATAAATTATTTTTAAAATTTAAAACTCTCTTAAACTTTCTTTACAGGTTTTTTAAAATCATATTGCTCGCCAATCTTTTGATTAATCAGAAGACAAATTCCTCAAACTTTTATCTTTAACTAAAAAAATACTGTTAAATCCTGTTCACACTTCACTCACCCTGGCTATGTGATCCTGCTGAAGATTCTCCTGATTTCTAAGTTTGGAATATTCATCAGCAATGAAATCTGCCGCCTCTCTCGTAAGCTGTGGTTTTATTACCTTGGCAACATGGATGTACTTCCTCATAAACTTCATACTCACAATTTTGTCTCTGAAAAAAAAAAAAAGAAAGAAAATGAGTGAATGAATAAATAATTAAATTAATAACAAAACTCTAAGCTTCAGCACTCTCTCAGTGATGTGAATTATGTAAGACTTAAGTGTAGTCTTAATTAAAGAAAAACTTAGGTAACAGAGAAAACTGTAACGTTTAATGTGATAAGCGTCCTTAAGCTTGTTTTAATTCAACTTGGATCTACATCAGAGGGCCATGTATTTCAGCACTGTCATTACATCTGGCAAGGCAATAACTTACTTCTTGCTCCGTGTGGCTCCATGCAGAAGAGCATCATATTTCTCAAAGATGGGTGTTTCCTCGTCTTCGTCTTCTTCCACCCTCTCAGGGTCCTTGGTCGACAGAAGGTCATTGGTACCACCCATTGGTAATACTGGAATTAAGCGAGAAAGCCACTCTCTTAAAAAGTGATTTTTCTTCAATCAAAAGCTAAATACTGAAATTGTTTGCCTCTAATATTTCAATATTTAGCTGTTGATTAAAGAAAAGTAACTCTTTTCTTATCCCGTAACACAGTTGATGAAATTCTTATCTTTCCTCTGCCCCTCTTTTGTGTATGTGTGATCAACATGATATTCCAAATTCAAATCCTGGCTTATCTTACTGCCTTCGAATACAGCATAATTCACTCTGTTTTTTTCCTCAACTGATGTCTCACAAATACCATAGGTAGAAAAGTCCGCTGTTTTAACAGGAGAGAATATTTGTCATGAATAAATTATGTGTTTGTTGGTCGTTTCATGCTGGATTTTAGGCTTACTCATCCCACGCTGGCCATTGTCGGTTGGGAGAGGGTGTTGAAGTTGGCAACACCATTCCTAGGCAAACTTGTGTGAACACACTAAAGAGCTTTGCCTGCCCTATGTTTGTATACGGTTTTTCTCCGCTAGCCTTATGATCCGGCTGAATTTTTGCTACTAAGGCAGTAGGGTTTTTTTTGTGTAGAGTTATCCTAACTCCTAGTCAGGTTGCTGTTCAAAGCTTACGGGTCCTACTATAGGTAGTACTGGTTTTACATGTTTACCAGAATGATAAGTTGCGGCTACAGGATTTGAACCCGGGACCTCTCACACCTGAATCAACTAGGCCATCACACCTGCACATGTGGAAATCCGAGGCTCAGGATAGGAAACAATGGAAAAAGCATGCTGAGGCCTTTGTCCAACAGTGGAACACTATAGGCTCTAAATGATGATGATGATGATGATGATGAAATTATGAAAATCCTTACCGTCACCATCCTGTTCTCCCGTGTTACGATAACGGTGCATGCGCAGCACGTGGTCAGAGATCTGTCGGTCACTGTCAGGGTCCATCTGCAGGCATACAGAATTCATTCCATTTTAAAATATGTTTACAAGTTGTTTTAGTCCTTAACCTTTTTAATTCATACTACTATTCTTTTCAATTAAAAAAAATATTCTTGGACCTTAGACAATTTAGAAGTTGTCAATCATTCACTTGTATATTTAAAATCAGACAAGATTTTAACATGAGACATACATGTCACCAGGATATTTTCAAAAAATAATTTATTTCATTACATTTTCCAATAAAACTTCTTAAAAGCTTTTAAAAACTTTTAAAAAATCAGCAATCACACAAGTCAGTGCGAAAATTTCAAAGACATAAATATATTTCATTATACTTTGCATAATACTTTTTGAACACTTTTCAAAGCTTTTCACAGACTGGCAGTCGCAAGTCGTACTCACTTTGTCCAACATAATAAACAGCAGATCAAAACGAGACAGCAGTGAATCTTGTAATCCTATGTTCTCCATAGGAGTCTTATACTGGTCGTACTTAAATTAGAGAAAAGAAACAGCTACAGCAAAACTGTAAAAATAGTTTCACTGGATATCAGCTTTTAGTAATTTTTTTTTATTTTTGTGAGGTGTTTACCCGAACAAGGAATTCAGTTAGGACCAAGTCTGTCAGAATAAGAAGAAACTGTCAACAGGTAAAGCAAATTTAGAATCTATCATAAATGAAAAGATTAATCACAGGGATAACTGTCTGACATTAACAGATTCCAATTGTTTACTGTTAAACTTTTACAAATGGTTATGCAAATCAAGAAATGAATACAAGACACTATCACAACAAAGAGGCAATCAATAAAGTTTACCTAGTAGCAATTTAATATAGGAAATATTCAGTAACATCTCTGGAGTGTAAAACTAAATAATTATGAAGTGTCTAATACTATTTTGTCAATTATATCAAAGTTTATTTCAAACAAAAATTACAAGCAATCTAAGACTTCAGCTTGCAGAGCAGATTTTCAACAAACAATAAACATTTTATTTGTTTGAGAATAAGATGTAACATTTAATAATCTTTTCTCATAATTTGCTAATTTTTCTTCAAATTATTTGGTGTATCAAACACTAACCAGCTATTTGTTTTTATTCCAAAAATCTCAACCATAACTTACCCTCCCATAGACAGGGTTTGCCGCGGCCAGCACGCTGCACCTGGCGTTAAGCTTGGCGTGGATGCCTGCCTTGGCGATGGTCACACGGCCCTGTTCCATCACCTCGTGAATCGCCGTCCTGTCAATGTCAGACATCTTGTCAAACTCATCGATGCAGACAACACCTCTGTCAGCGAGAACCATAGCACCTGCCTCTAACCTTCTCTCTCCTGTAATAAAATGATTTCTTAAAAATCATTTATCAGAAAATATGGGGAGTAAAACCTGATTTACTGCTACTTTTGTCAGATATGTTATGAATTGCTGTTATTCAAATGTGGACCAAACATTTTATTAAACAACTAGTTACACCTGAAGACACCATCTTTGCACTGCTTCACATGCCCGCTAACTCCACAGGGAAAAAATTCCACATGATTAAGTAGTGGCATTAGCTTAAGGCTCATTCCAAGGGGTACAAATTTGTAAATGTGATTGCATAAAGTAAGAGTTCCCACAGTTCAATAGATTTACGTAAAACATTTGGAATGAGCCCTTAGTTTTAAATTCACACAATAAAACCATCCACCTCAGGTGTCTCGTCCAGTGACTAACTGACCACCCACCCACCTGTCTCCTGATCCGTGGTGACTGCTGCGGTCAGACCCACCCCAGATGACCCACGGCCAGTGGTGGGAATGGCCCTGGGGGCAGTGTGGAGGACGTAACGCAACATCTGGGACTTGGCCACCGAGGGGTCTCCAATCAACAGCAGGTTGATGTCTCTGAAAGGTTGAACTGAAGCTTAAGGCTGTATTCCCAGAGCTTTTAGATAGATCTATCCCCGCGGGGAGTCTCACTAGATTACTGTCAGATAATCCGGCTTAAATGTCCGTCCCGCCTACTACAAGCTGTAAGCGGGTAATTAACTTTCGTGTCCGCTCGGCTGACAGCTATATAGCGTGAACCCCCAGGGAGTTAGGTCGATCTAAAGTAGATCGATCTAATCTCTGGAAATGGGGTCTAAGTCTGAGTGAGAAACATGGAAAACATACAAACAAATATATGAAAATATTAAAACTTGCACAAGGCACATAGGAATGTTAGACAAGGTAACTTCGGGTCATGTTAGTTTTGGGACAGAGGACATTTTATTCTTTGCAATAAAAGAGAAAGCTAGACAACAGCCATATTCTTTACATTAAACCAGCTCTATATGGGAGATGGGGGCATATATACAACACCCAAATATCTTCATTTCTGGATAAATCAAGAAGACCATCTCCACATCAGAACCCTTCAACCAGAAACTTGCTTCGATATTGTCTCTGTTGTGTTGGTGGTTTTCCCCAATCTTACCCCCTAATTCTGGTGTTAGTGTTGGTGGATTCTTACCCCCTAATTCTGTGGTTTCTTACCCCCTAATTCTGTTGTTAGTGTTAGTGGTTTCCTACCCCCTAATTCTGTTGTTAGTGTTAGTGGTTTCTTACCCCCTAATTCTGGTTCCATTCTCCAGTACTTTCTCCACCCCTCCCAGTAACATGCACAACACTGCCTTCTTAATGTACTCGTGACCGTGGATAGAGGGCGCCAGGGACTTGGAAAGCAGCTCAAACACATCCTGAAAATGTAAATAAATTTACTAAGTACAAATCAAATTGTCCATTTGTCTTATGACTATATTAATATTTTAGTGATACCACTTGTTATCCTTTCCATTGCATTTTTTTCCAACTTCTTTTTCTACACATTTATTTTAAAAGAGTTAAATTTTCATTTTATTATTATTACTATAACAAGCACAACTTTTATTAATTTTCAATTTTTTTATCGTATTTTAAAATATTTGAAAAGAAACATTCTCATAGTGTTAACATTGCCTTTTAAAAGTTCTTAAACTAAAACAAAAAATGTGTTTCGTTAATAGTTTTTGGGATATAGATAGAAAATTAAGTGACAAGTAGTTTTTTTTAGATCAGATACCACTTCATGCAACTCACCACTCCTTTCTGTCGACTGAATTTCTTAATTTTCACCACGTCGTCTGCTGAAAACAGTGGCGACAGCTCCTTGCTGAGTAGCTGAATGTTATTGGCTATCATCACCGTCCTGAAGAAAGAAATACGACAGGAAACTCAGATAATGATAATTATATCTCCCAATGATATACTGAATATCAACAAAGGAACATTAAGCATTTACAAAGTATCAATGAAAATATTAAATAATGTACATAGTGGAATAGTTCAATTTTTTTTAATTACCAGACAAAAGACTTTGAAATCAACAAGCACAATATAACAGGGTGACCTCAGGGTCAATGTCAAACCTCGAAATATTTACCCAGTATCTGAACCTCATAGACACAAATAACGCATTGTCCTTAAATTTCTGAAAAAAATAAATAAAAATAAAACTCTTAGACTACCTGAAAGTCCCAGTGGTGAATCCATTTTTCTTCCCAGGTAGACATCTGTATGTCCCCACCACCTGTACTCTGTCTCCTGGCTACAAGGACAAAGTGCACATATGATAGGTCTGTTTTACCAAGTAGTCAGAAAAACCCATTATTGCCAATGATATTTTTGCCTCCCAAAAAGTCTGATATCTGCCAATAGTCAGAAAATTTCATCCATGTTGAATAAAAATGCCACACATGCTTTAAAATGCTAAGTCATCAAACTTATAAAGTTATTTACCCATCAACATGTGCATCTGACTTTAAACAGGGTTATTAAAATTAAATTAAAGAAAATTAAAGAAAATTAAAGAAAATTTACTTCAGTAAGTTATAACACTATATCAGAAGACTGACTTTTCGATTTTGTATGAACCTTGGGGTTAGCATTCAGCAGTTGAGGGGTCAATGAGAGGTCAATGAGAGGTCAGTGTCCACTTACCTTACACATGTCCACCAGGTCGTTGTCCACCACAATGTCCACTGACCGAGGCAGCTGACCAGCAGGTGCTTTTTCTGGCATCTCCTGGATGGTGAAGGTCTGATGGTCCTTGTAGCTGGACAGCCCAAATTCTGTCTCTAGAGGGTTCCCATCTTCATCCTGAAACAATTTTCTTTTTTATTCTCTTCTTTTTTTATTCTATATGGGGATCATGATATTTTTTTCATTCTATACGGGTATTTGTATAAATATATTTTTTTCATTCTATAAGGGTATCTGAGAACTTTTTTAATTCAGAAAACTGATTTTACACCAAATTAAATACCAAATTGACAGATGACTAGGACTTCAGTCACAGATGGCAAAATTGACCTCAATTCATTACTGCATTTATATCACTGGAAATATTTGAGAATCTGTAAAATGTCAGGTGTAGTGTTTTGATTTTGGACAATTAATAAACATCCAAATAAATAAACACACTTTCACTCCAACATGTGAGGTAGTGAACTAAAATCAGTTATTTCTCTCCACCTTGTTGGGGTACATATACAGCACTGCTTTTATGAAAAGTTTCAGACTTAAAATAAATACAGCATTATTATCATTTTTATTAAAAGAGTTCTATCTCCTCACCTTGGTAGGGTAGACGGCACTAGTGGGGAAAGCCTCCAGTGAGGTCATGTCAGAGTACTTCCTCTCAATGGTCTTCTTAGTGGCCTGGCAGTAGTGGACACTTCTGACCACCTTGGGGCGAACCAGGGAACCTGACACAGATCAGGGAAACCATCTAATAGACTATGTAATTACATGATATATAGTCAGTGCAATTCTTCCTTTCACGGCGATATTTGAATCTTTCTTCTAATGCATCTGATCAAGGGAGTTAGACATAAATTATCTGAGCTCACAACATTGTCTCTGAATAGACCCGAATAGAATATTTTCATATGAAACATTCATTAGAAGAAAAAAAATCTACTAGTGCTTACAAATTACAGTTGACTTATAAGTATTTAAGAAATTTTTGAAAGCAATCACTTTCACCAGTCACTACTTACATTTGGTCACAATTCCCTCCACACAAACCATGTTGCCAAGGAAACGAGAGGTCAGTGACCTTGGTGTGACGTGTTTGGAGCCAAAACTGAAATACAGAGTTAAAATCGCCTAGAAGTCTACAAATTAATACATTATTTTCTATTGCATCTCATGGTTTTTGCTTTTAAAAATAACTAACATAATCTTAGAGATATCAAAGATCTAAATATTCCCAATTAATTGGCTAATAACATAGCCTTAAAGATAGTCTTCAACTAAGCCTTACCTTCCTTCAAAGCCCACAAAGAAGTCATCATGCTGTTTGCTATAGACAGGATCAGCTGAGGCGACAAATTCCTTCAAGGCTCGCTGGAAAGCTACCAGGTCCTCAAATGAGTTCTCAATGACACTGCAAAAAGACAGGAGGACATGAGGAAATTTGACAATCAAACATCAGTGGTGAACGTAAATTTCATAAGTGTTGGTGAGTTTGTGGAAGAGAGATAGATATTAAATCCAGATTTATTCTTTATAGAGATGAGACAAACAAAGTTTTAGTAAACCATCAATGAATTTTGGTCACTTAAATATATGTCAGTCATTTGCATTAACGAATTTAATATTAAATTATATTGTATCAAGACTGACATAAACAGATAAAAATTAATGAGTTTAATATATTGGACTCTTCTATGTAACATAGTAATATCTTCAACTCACGCAGCAGATCTGGCAGGCATCTTTCTCCTCAGATCATTGATATTCACCGTCAACCTGACATTGTTGTTGGATATCATGTCTTTCACTTTGGCTGTATATATGCCTTGGTCAACCTAGAAAATGAATCAAGAATCTGTCAATGATAGGAGCAGTGCTAGAGTTAGCACAAAAATTCATGCGTTAGCACTCCTAATGACGATTCTGATATGCACTGGTTAGCACAGCCAGTACATATCAGAATCGTCAATAGGAGTGCTAACGCATGAATTTTCGTGCTATGCTAGAGTATGTAGATTTATGGTATCTTTTATGATAATTTGAAAAATATAGTTATACAAAAACAAAAGTGATATTTGTTAATATCCACTTGGTAAGATGGACATAGAACACATAACTGAGAAGCAGGCATTGAACGTCATTTCCTCAAATGAAACCTGATGAGACACAAGGTATATATAAATTGGATGGCGATTAATTATTACAATGAATTGACAATCGACACCACATTATTACTGACAGCTACGGCGTGTTATCAGTTATCAAGAGATGAAGAATGCAATATGTACGTGAAAACTATCCTCTGATTTCAGTTAACGGTCTCGGTAGCAATATGACGTGGGACTTTTATTTTTCTCCTCCGATCTCCTAACATAACAGATTAACACAGCGTGGAACACCCGCATGCAGTTGAACGTGGGTTTTAAGTCCTTTTATCGCATTATTACACGTGCTACATTTACTTACATCGTCATCCAGAAAGTCCAGATACTCTCTCTGTATCTCCCTCAACCTCTGATCAATTTCCGTCGTGTCCATGGTGAAGTTTGCAGCTGTTTCTTTCAGCGATCGTTCTGATGACTTTTGTTTACCAGTCGGCCACTGCAGAACTCGCGCCAAATAAGTCACATGATCAGAGAAGAGCGGGCATTTAAATCACGTGATTTAAAGGACACTTTAGTATGAAATACTCGAGAAAAGTTATATCAATGTATCCTAAAGAATTGATATGACTAAATGTTCCTCCTCAAATGTACACAAATATGTTTAGAGTGAAAAGAATAAAATCAAAGTTAGTGACCTCCACACACATCCTGGTATTTTCAATATGTCCGCGCCCTGTTGAAGATGCCGGTTGAACAGATTTAGGGAGTAAAACAATTCTGATTCATATGCTGGATGGGCTATAACTAGTTTGTTATGGCAGCTGAGCCTGTTAAGATTTCTTTAGTTTCTAACAAGCCCTTTATTTGGAATGCAGAAGGTTTGTTATGTGTATTTTCTGTCTCTCGCCATGTCGATACTAACTTAACGTTACGATACGATTCAGTACAGTTTTAAGTAGTATCAGTAATGGCATGTTATTTCTCGACAGCTGTGCTCTTTTTACTGGTCATTCAGTCGGAGTAACTGCTCGTGACAAAATTGCCCCTTTATCTGTTTCATTGAGGTTCATTCCTTCACTCATTTCATGCGGTTTCAAGATCGAAAATATTTAAGAAAGGGGGAGGGGGCTTCTCACCGCATCCTTGCTGTCTGGCAAAATCAGTTAAATATAGTTCAAAGAAGTATTTAATTATATCTGAGACTTAAGATCTTGGTTTCTTTTTATTCAGTTTGTTGTCTGTTGATGTACAGTTTAAACAAGTTCATAAATCCACAATTACATCAAAAATTAAAGATGTACATGTAATTCTGCTTTAGATGCATGTATAGTCCGTGAGAAGTACCGTATAGTGGGTGCTCTAGCAGGCTGTCTGTCCAGGGCCCCCAGACAGAACATACAGCTAGGTCTACCACTACAGCTCTTGCCAGAGGAGGCCATGCTGCTGCTGCAGGAAGGTAGGTTGGGTCAGAAGTTTCCTAGAAAACACTTTTCTTTCAATTCTACTTACTTAACTGCTCTTTGTACACGAGGGTTATGCCTGCTTGGTTTTATAACTATTGTTGGCATTTCAGAAATTATGTCCCCTAAAGCTATATATATTTAAGAGTTGGCAACTACACTTGCTGTTGACAATATCCACTAATGCCACAGCTATATATTCTACTTAACATAAGTTAAGAGTTGGCAGTGCTGTTGACAATGTTTTCAATGTCTGCAACATTCCATTCAAGCTTTCACTGAAACACATCCAAATTGTCCTTTATCTTAATTACTTCAACTGTGGGATTATCAGTTTAAATTTACATCTTGCAGCGTATAGTTTCTGCTTTCATATTCATTTTTATCAGAGGAGGACTCGTAAAAAATTTCATGTAATTATACACCGGATAATAGGTATTTATTATAGCTGTCTTACATATTTAGACAGAAGCAAGAATAGAATGCTTTAATATTTTATCTTAGTGTTTATTGATACTAATTCATATAATGGCTCCTGCCCTCTCAGGTTATGCTCAGCTTGTAAACAGTGACCAGAACGCCAAGCTACCATCGCCAGAACAAGTGGACAGGTTCCAGAAGATGAGGGAGGAGAGTTTTAAACAACAGGTCTGATTAGATTAATAAATATGTACACATGATTTAAATATGCTTCAGATTTGAAAAAAGTTGTTTCTGAAAATATTTCAATAAAGATAGTCTTTCAGCATATTCACAATGAATATCAGATAAATTTTGCAAATGATAATTAACTGGCTATTGCTAATATGAGAACTCATCTACTGAATAAACAGTGCAAGTTAGATTTTTATTTGAATTCAGTTAATATTGATTAATAATATATATGAAAGCATCTTAACCAGATTTGATTGAAATTTTATAGCTTTTTCTAGTTTATTCTCTACAATCCAGGCAGAAATAGGCATAGCAGAAAGAAAGCTGATCGTCCAGAGAAGACTTGACCAGATAAAAGAGGGAAGAAAAGCAAAACGGAAGCAGAGACTAGAGAAGAAGAAAGCAAAGGGACAGGAAGTAGATGAGGAAGAATTGAGGAGGGATGAAGACAAACTAGATGTTGAAGACATACAGATCACCCCTATGGGGCAAGAACATGCATTGGTGCAGATATTCACAGGTGACTCTGTGGCAGCCAAGTAAAAATGATAAGCTGTGTTGACATGAAGCAGATTCTAAAGCTAATTTACTTGCTAATTTACTTACATAAGATTTAGTTCTTATTGATGTATTTTATACTGTATAGGTCTTTCAGTTTTTTTTTTTTTTTTTTTTTTTTTTTTTTTTTAAGAAACCCAAGATTTAACTGAATATTTAAAAGTTTATTTCTGATCATGAATTGAGTTTAAAATTAATGATTAATATGTGCATATAGCACTGAAATAGTGTTCAATTGAGTTAAAAACTTTTTTGAGCTGGTCTAAATATTTTTATATCTTATATCCAGAAACCCCCTGGGTTGAAGAAGTTGACACAGACGTCAGATGGGATTTCCCGTCAACAGAGGAGGAGAGGGTGAGGTACAGGGTGTTCCGTGACCTCTGGAGGAAAGGTCACAGCCTGACCTGTGGCGGGAAATTTGGTGGAGATTTCTTGGTGTATCCAGGTAAGGGAAATGTGTGATAAACACGTGTGGTTAGATTGGAACTGAATGAGACTGTGAATATTGGGCCAACTTCCATCATCCAGCAACCAGTTAGTTTTAAGATATGAAACATGGGTGGGCTTCATGGAGTCCGCACATGACAAAAGGCAGTTGACCAGAAATTTTAACAAATAGTGATAAGATTCACGTGCCCTCCAGAGAAAATAAGTTATGAAGTGAATTTTCATTATCTGTCCAAAGATCAAACTTACAGTGAAAATCTATCACCCAAATAAATGCAGTCTTAAATAATATATATTTTTTTAAATTGAAAAGTGATTTCCAGAGTATTCTTTCTGCCACTGTGCAATATTAATAACCACGCTTGCATTTCCACTGATAATTTAAAACTACATAAAATAACCTTATATCTGAATGTTCATCTTCCATTCCAAGGAGACCCCAGTAGATTCCATTCGTTCTACATAGCTGTTTGTCTGCTCCATCATCAGACAATGTCCGCCGAGAAAGTCGTGGCAATGGCGCGTCTGGGCTCCACGGTGAAGAAGACAGTCGTCTTGTGTTCTGTAGACGATGACGATGAATTGACTTACACTTCTTTACAGTGGACAGGAATTAGTTGATTAGTGACTGACGAATGGATTTGTAATCCAAAGAGGAAATTTATTTATAAAAGTACATTTTTTGCTATGTTCAATTGCGTAATATAGTGGAATTATGACAAAAGGGAGTCACCTGAAAAATTACCCTATGAAAGGGGGCCGTAGCGATAGTCCGAAGGTTCAATAGTCCGAAGGTTCATTGGTCCGAATGTTCACTATAGAACCTTCGGACCAATGAACCCTTGATTAAAAAATCGATAAAAATGTTACCACTTTTCGGACCAATGAACCTTCGGACTATCGAGACGCCCCCTATGAAAGTTTGACCATGGCTGAAACCCATCTAGCCACATGACAGTTATTGAAAGTTGGGCTAGATTAGGACCACAGAATCCCCATATAAGCATTGGAGCACCCAATCCCAGATTGGACTCATTTGCTTAACATCAGGACTAAGTAAGATATTTTCCAGTGTACAAAACATCCACCCCTGCAACAAGTGGGCATTGCTTAGTGATAGATATTATTACTGATGACTATATGGTCTGCTTAGTTCATTGATAACCACAGGGCAGGGAAGAAACTGAACAAGATTTTTATGATGTATAAAACATTAATTTTTATTAGGTCAGTAAATAAAGTTCTTAAAGAAAATCAAATTATTTTTATATAATTTTTATGTCATACATTTAAAATTAAACTGTAAATATTTTTATAAAGAAATAAAAGTATGTACATAGGTTTAAACTATAAAACTATTCTTGCTGTCTAAAATAATTTAAAAAAACTAAAATCAAATCCCACATGCAAAGAGGATTTTTACGTGCTTGGGACAGAAAAAAATATCCCCATTAATGAACACAAATCTGGAAGTATCTCGTCAGTTTTGCAAAAATTATGCCATTTTAAATCTTGGACAAACAGTGTCCAGGTGATCTGACATTAAATAATTGTTTCTAGCATTTGATTTTGCGTTAAGCTCAACAATTCATCTCTCACTTCTCACACACATGTTCACAAACATTTGTCACAGTAATGAGGGATTTAACTTGATGTTTTAGCCGTTGTCTGGCAGGATTATTCTAACTACAAGACTTATTCATGAACAAGGCAAAACAAAACTGATTTGTCTGCAAATGTTATATCTAACCCTAAAAATAAAACTACATAAATAATACAAAAATAAGTACGACATTATTTTTTATATTGATAAAACAACTGCTCCGGATGACACAACTGACACAAGTTACAGATAACATAAGCACCATATTTGTCGTGAAGCACCTAGCAAAAAAAAATAAATAATAAATAAATAAAATACAAAAGGCATCACAACCTCCTGAGATTCTTTTTACTTTTCTTACTTCCCACCGCTGAAGCTGCCTTCGATTTCTTTGGAGAAAACGTACTGCAGTTTTGCGCTGCATGGTAATTGTTAAAACACTTCGTGCAGAAGTCGTAACTACACCCCTTTCGTGTGCATGTTGCTCTTTCCTCGGCTGGACTTAGGCGAGATGGACTTTGGCATTTTGGACACTTGCGCAGACTTTCGCCCCACAGAAGTTTTTTGCCTTCCTAAAGAGACAAATTAACAGCTACCTCAAAATGTTATTGAAAAGTGCAATTTCACCAGTCATAACGGAAAACAAAACAAAACTATTTAATTAGAACCAACAATTTCAGGTACAATTCATCGCATTTTTTAGTTTTTTTTCTCTTTCTTTTTTTTTATTTTCTTTTATTTCTCACCCCCCCCCCTTTTTTGTTTTAAAAGCCATGTAATCTGGACAGTAACAAGCCATCTTAGCAGAATCCTGTCTTAATGTATCATGTATCATAATGTATCATGTCTGATACCAAGATACCAAGAAGCAGCTTAACCAGAATCGCAGCATTTCACTTTATACAAGTACCTGGAAGAACTGCTGATGTCTGGACATCTCAGGGGTCTCTTTTACAGGACTCGGAGGCTTTCCTGTCACCTGAACCTGTCCAAGAGGCTCCGCGCCTTCAGTGACTTGCCGCCTGCTGCTGCTAGAGTTCTTACGTGGACTGAGGTCTTTGAGGACATTTTCCTGGAAGATGACAGAGATTGCTAAGTCTTTGCAAGTTAATATTTGAAAAAAAATTGGAAGATTTTTTTTTCTAAAATTCCCAACAGGAGTTCTTTTACAGTCCTTTAAATCTGCAACCCTAAGGCTCATTAACTGTCAGAGTGCTATAACTTAACTTAATCATCTTCATGACATTTTTGTCGCTCTATCACACTTGGAAGTTATATGACATGATTAGGAACAATGGCTGTGGAGGATAAGAATGGATCTTGTAAACTTACTGCTCCAAGTCTGATTCTCTTGGCTCTCAGATGCTTCATGTACTGGGTTCTCCTAGCTTGAGCTTTAGGGTGAAACTCACAAATCTCCCTCCACTCACTGCTTACAAGGCACATCCTGATGTAAAATAAAGAAGCAGTGCTGATTATTAAATTCTTGTTTTAATACTCAGTTATTTTTCTGTAGACAAATTTTACTTTTTTGCCAGACACAAAGATTTTTAAGAAGTACTGTAAATCCAACACTGATTTGTGATGTATCTGCTTAGTGCTTGTCTACTAACTTATTACAGTATAGTAATGTTTTGTCAGGTGCTCTGAGACTCAACCTTTAGACAAACTGTTAAAAAGTAATTTAGGATTTTTTAAAGGTTAACTAGAGGTAAGCCTGAAAAGACCTCGAGTGCTACCATGCCCTGACACTCACCTGCAGAGGTCAGCACCCTCCATGTAACCCAAGATGGTGGACACGCAGCCAATGTTACGAATGTGCAGCTCCCACAAAATGTCCACGCTCTGCAGACCCATCTTCCGACCAATCAGACGGTCTGGCTCACCAGGAATTAGGTTACCTTGGGTCAGCATCTCCCAAATGTCTTCTTTCTGTGGCATTAAAGTTCTGCATGATGTCAGAGAACCTCGGTTTGTCTGAGGGGTTTTTTGAAGCAGCAGCGATGCTGTTTCACAAGTGTTCTTGTTTCCAGGCCGGCTTGATTGAGTTTGAGGTGAAAAACCCTGGTCATGATCTGACCTATCACTTTTCTTGACACAGTCAAAAAGAACCCTTTTGTGGGGTTCGGAATTGTGCTCTTTCACATTTTGGCAAGAATGAAGTTGTTGGCAATGATTTCTTCTAGAATCTGATTGATTTGAGTCAGAATCACTAATTTCAGTAGTCGTGTTTGGGGCACTAGCTTTGCAACAGTTCAACTGATTTTCCGGGTAGCTTCCTTGTCTAGTCTCAATATTTGTCTCACTTGAAACGTTCCTAGCAACCAAATTATCACCAAGGCTATGGCTAAATTTGTGGTGCTGGAAGTAAGTCCTGTTGCTAATTTCCTGTGCTTCAGTTTTATCGGTGAGGAGATCAGGCGTGTGATCCACCTCAGAACTCGAATCCATTGTCTCATTACCTGAGTCTCTACGAAGTCTGTAGTGTAAGAGAGTCATCCTAGATGGCGTTGGCTTACCACGCACTGATATGTTGAGTGGGGAGGGAGAAAACATTTTGTCAGCATGACATAAAGGTTTGATTTCTGTATGACCCACAATCCTTTGCTCCTGTAAAGATGTCGACAATTCTGTGCTGGGAGACGCTAAATCCACGCACATGTTTTCTACACTAGAGGGTGTTGTTGAGCAGCCTGAGTCTATGCCAGAGTCAGTGTACGTTAACCGAGGCTGAGATGCTTTGGGAAAGAGACACGCTGTCACGTTAAGATCAAACACGCCACTCTCATCACTGGGGGAGGCAGAAGGCGGACATTTTGTTCGAGATGGGAATGGCGTGCTTGTGCTCCCACTCCTGGTTTTCAGGCTCTCAAAGTTCACCCTCAGGCTGTCAGAGTCTGCCAGCATGCCACTGTTTAATCCTGGCTTTGTGGTCAAGTGATGCGGCTGTTGTGGCGTTTTGAAAATATCTTTCACTTCCTGCACAGAGATCTCAGGGATCCTGGAGACGCCATGATCTCCACTTACACCTGACATCTGAAAATGTGAAATTATGGTTTGGTGAAAATTTTCTTATCAAAGCACTGATTGAAATATAAGAGATGCACAAGTGCTTCATTTAAACATATCAGTTATTTTTATGCTTACCCCTCACCCTTTCATTATGTGAATTCATTCATTCCCACAAAAAGCTGAATGTTCCAAAAAGATAAATTTTCTATTTATTTATTTAATTCATAATAATTATTACTATTGAGGGAGGGGGGGGGTTACAGAAAAAGTGCTAAGTAATTTTTTTTTAATTATCTTTCAACTTTTCAAAAAATAATTTAAATTATTTGTTTCATTAAATCTCCAAATGATTATAACTAATAGGTAGATCTATTTTTCCCTTTTATTTTTGATATTTTTTAAGAATAATAATAAACAATTAGAATATTTCACAAATTACTTTATCCTGATTCATAAAATTTACGTCCCTATAGCTTAATACTTTCAAAAATTTACGTATCTTCAGAAGAGATGACTACAAAACAGAACCTTTTGAATTTATAAAGTGGATTCCAGTTGAACCATACAAGAGCTAGTTACATGTTACGTGGCTCGCGTACCATTGCACAAAAACACCCGGCTAATAGGCGGGGAGCTTGGTGTTATTTAAGTAAAAAATTACCTATTTTAATGGAGAAAATGGAAAGATATATTAATGAATGATATAGAAAGTTAAAGTCTCACCTTGCCTATTCTTCAGACTGCAATCCGAGCTCCGCGATCACTTTTATGGAGAATATTTTGCTGCAACACTGTTCAGTTTTCAAATGATAAATTTTAAACTCTCGCGCTTGGTTCGATGCGTTGACCAATCAAATCGCTGCATTTGCCAAAGTCTCGCGACATTCTCGTCTAAGGTTTCCGTCTGTCTGTTCCGTCGCCAGCACGCAAAATTTACCATCGTTTGCAAAAAGAACGAGGTAAGAGAGAAATTGACGTTTCCCCCACTCAATTTGCTGTTAAAATAGCCAGATTTGTATTTTCTGAAGTGTGTCAACACATTTTTTTCAAGATCTGCTGATAAGGTGGAGAAAGAGCCTTTTATGTAGTGAACTAGGTAACCGCGATATCAGGCGACATCCGCATCATTTGTCTGACTCGGAGTATTTCACTAGTGTAGCTGTAATTGTTTTAACAATTTTCTTAAAGAATAAAGTGTCGTTTTTGCGTTGACAACGCTCCTCAGTCCCGTAGTAGCACTGACAATGAGATCAGGGTTTTTCTCTTTCAAGTCTAGCACTCTTATTTACTATTTATGTTAATGAGTGAGTTAGAAAGAGAGATCGGATTAATATATTCGGCTGAAGTCTGCGCTTGGCTTCCTTCCTCGGCTCGTTCATAATATATCAACAATTACAAAATTTTATGCTTGCCTCCTTATTCTGTCTTTACAGCTTCACAGCTTACCAAGAGTCAGTAAATGTTGAAAATCTGTAGTAAAATTCTAGCTAATGTTTATTATAAATAGGTATTTGTTCTACATGTACAATATCTTGGGATTAAAAGACATTTTAAATATTTTATTGCATATTTTCAGAGATGGATCAAAAGCCAGATACAGCACAGCCGGTGAAACAGCAGCCCATGATTTACATTTGTGGAGGTGGGGGTCATGAACATTGTCAAGGAATTCCATATTTTTTATTTAATTATGTGATAATATTACTTTAGTTCAGTTTTCAAACATTAAGCTACACAGGACAATCCAATTACAATTTATAACCCTTTAGGGTATATTGTATTATTATCAGTATAGTATAAGCATAAACACAACAATAAAGTAACACATGATATATATACTAATGTACAAATTATTATCAAGATCACAAACAAGGTCTCCAGGTGTAGTGTGAAGGTTGATTACTGGTAGATGGGTCTTATCTCATCCTTATAACATTGATCATAAAATAAACCTGAAACATTCCTCAAGTAAATGTGCTTCTGCAAAGGTTATCTTTTCTGTGTCTTCCCTATCTTGCGGTTTACAGCAACTGAATCATTTTCTTGACATGCTTTTATGCGTGTCCTCTACCCATGATAGTTTCCGTGCTGAGACATACTGTGATATTGGCGAAGGATGCCATGGTTTTAGATAGTGGAGTGTAGCAAAGGTAAGTCTCTTTACTAAGTAAAAATTATGGACATAGTTGGAAGTATAGAATATACACAAGAAAACAAAATGGTCTCTGAAGATTTCAAAAGTTTTTGCAATTTGGTTAAATTACTTTGAAATTTCTAACAAATTGTGATATTTAAATTCTAACAGTTTTGCAATTTGGTTAAATTACTTTGAAATTTCTAACAAATTGTGATATTTAAATTCTAACAGTTAACTTCTTGGCACTTTGTATTAAATGTTCTCTTATGAGGTACTGGGTATAACCCTTGCAATATGTCTTCGTTGACCATATTTAACACAATGTCTGTCACTGTTAATAGATGGAATTAATTTATTGTCGTCTTAATTGTGAAGGGCTAGAAAACTAAATGTATATGTAAAATTTAATTCCTAATAAGTATTATAAATTATAGATTTAACCATTTTGGAAAGTATTTTTTTTTTTTAATCATAACCAAAACAAATTGTAAGATGTTTAACCAGTCATTCACTGGATAACTCTTTTTAATTAATTTTTCATTTCTTTTCTTTTTATAACATTTTATATCTTGTAAATATGTATTAAGGTTGTTACAGTTTATGACTAAAGAGGTTTTAAAAGTGGACTAGGGTTATATTAACTTTTTGCAAGCCCTTTAACTTTTTTTTAGCATTGGGCAGTTACTTTGAACTAGTTCAGACTGTAACTGTCGAACAGTTGATTTATATAATAAAGAACAGTGACAGATTAAATGTATTTCATTGCATTATTTCATAATGTCCTACTGTATAGTCCATGTTGTTATTATTATTATTTTTTTTTTAACTTTTAGGTTTTCCTCTCTTTGTCCTACCATGGCATAAACAAGCTGGAAGAAAATACCCTTTCTTGTGGTATGGGAGAAAAAAGATTTGCCAACACAAACTGTTTAAGTATCTTGGAAGGAATCGTGTTCCACCACATGACCTTTGAAAGGTTTTCAAGTCTCTATTATTACCTCACAGTGTCTACAAGTGCACATCCAGAAGAATGAGTTCTACATTGTATCACATGAAAAATATCAAAACCATAGTGAAAACTGGAATAGAGCATGGAACAGTGGAATACGTTGAAAGTCATCTCATTTGCAGTGTTAGAAAAAATGAGACTCGCTGATATAGACTGCCTGAAGTTTTTATAACTTAAAGTATCTTTTTAGAACATTTGTACTATTTTAAATGAATCTCAGCTGCCCATTTTTACTTATTTTTGTAGACATTAGTAGCATTGTATTACCTTATATGTGTAAATTTATGTATTTGGTTTTACATTTCTATAGTAATAAAGGCAATGGCTTATGCACAAATACCACTATCAAGATATTTGCTTATAAAGTTGACTAAAAAATCATAAAATATAGATATAGTGGAGAATAATAAATAATTTTTAAATCTTCCAAAGTTTAATACATACATACATACACCCTTTCTCTGACAAAAATTTATGGAAGTATTTTAGATTAATAAATAGTAATGAACATGTCAAAATTTACCTTCAACTCTCTTACTTTAAATGTTGATCAAAATGAAGTGTTGTAGCCACAGCACAGGCATTTAAATGTCTGTGCATGTGCAGAAAGTGCACCTTCTAAAATGAAAATGGTGAAATTATCAACGAGAGAGTCTTACTACTAGAACTGAGTAATTTCACTATTGTTAGGTGTTTTAAGATCTTCATTTAGAGACTATAAGGCAACTCAAATATGTCGTTTAATTAAATGCCGTGTCTGTTTTTGCAAACCTCTCTCTCACTGAAAGAACAATGCCAGGAGAGAAGACGAGACAACCACTGTAGAGTTTTAAAAAAATCACAGTAAATCCTTTATCCACTTCATACTCTTTTTACAGTATTCCATCATTTGCGTCATAACTAAAAACATTCACAATTCATAAACAAATAATCTAAATATTAAGCACCCCGCACACGGTGAGCAATTGGCGTGCGCCACTTGCGCTGCGCCCAGATGCTCGCGCTCCTCAGCTCCCCGCAAACGACGTGCGCCAATTGCTCAACGTGTGCGGGGGGGTTTAAACTTAATTTTTCCTTGTCATGTCAATTCCTCAAAACAATTATATTATCTTGTTGACTTTACCAAAACAGTTCTTGGTACAACATTACCTTAGACAGCTGAATTCTTGCATCATTTGTCTTATAAAATCAAGTTAAATGAATTCAAATCCCTATTTTGTTTTACCAATTTAAGTAACTTTCAGCATTTGGCTATATTGGCAAATGTAAGTGCTACCCCAGTCATGTTTCATAGAGCTTATGATGCTTTCCTCTCACTTATAGATAATCGTTTCCATTTCAGAATGTCACCATGAAAATGAAATCCGTGCGCGGGACCCCATCCGCTGCCGGGAGTGTGGATATAGGATCATGTACAAGAAGAGAACAAAAAGAAGTATCCTTTTTTGACCAGAAAAACACATTTCTATAAAGTCAATCTGCATAGATAGGCACTAGTTCATCTAAAAAGACACAGGGCTGGTTCTTAAAACAAAATCATATATGTATAATGCTAGCCAACTTTTAGGTAATTTATTTCAGGATAAATTTTTTTAAGGGACATAAAATTACAGTTTATTCTATTGATATTACTCTTGGGTTATATGAGGAATGTCCTTTTCTTTATACACACATTTGTTTTAAATTCAGAGAATATTTATTAATGAACTGATTGTCAATGAAAATCTCTCCTCAGATGTTTTATGAATGTTTTGTTTTCCTTAACTGCTATCACAGTGGTTGTATTTGATGCTCGATGACATTTTCATCAGGATAACAACAGAGACTTTGAACAGATTGACTTGAAACAGTAACTCTCTTAAGCAGGTATTAACCAAGAGAGAGACAAAAATCTTGAGATATTTTCATGGCTGTGACAAACACTGGTTAATAAGAATGGCATGTTCTTGTTGATACAGGACTATATCAAATATGGGGAGAAGAGGGCATTTTGTTGAATAGTTGCTTCTGTGTCGACTGCAAGGAAAACATGATATTTGCATCGATCTGAACTATAGAATGTGACAGTTAACATTTTATGTAAAAGTAAAAATGTTAGAATGCCCCAAGTTTCCCCCCAATAAAGTTCAACAGACCATTTGATCTTTCCAGTTTTCATTTTTTTTTTTTTTAAATAAATAAATGATTATATAATAAAATTGCTGTTAAAAGTTTATTTCATTTAATATTTGGAAATATTTAAAATTTGAAACATTTTACATATTGTTACTTTCAAACATAAAAGATGAGAATGTATTAAAGATATTTGCAGGTTCAATATTGTATAAAACAACACAAATTCCACTGCCAGTAAATGACAAAATGTACAAATTGTATAAGATTGATGTTCCATGAAGTTTTATTAACATCCAAAACCTTTTCAAATGCACAGAACAAGATAATTTGGCAACACTGAAAAATAAATTGTTCATGAAAAGGTCTTTTTGCTTTAAATACAGATACAGAAGCTTTTCGTTGTGAACAGTCTTTGATTCGAAGGACTGCTCTCATGTAGGTTTGTTGGCAAGGTCAACACAATTCATATTGTGTTAGTTGAGCTGTGTATAATGCCTGGCGCAATCTAAGATGAGAGCTGTCGTGGTGGATTCCGTACTTGTGTATCTCCGTGTCAGTAAGCTGAAGACGATAACTTGATCAACCAACGCCTTATTCGGGTGTGTCTTTAAAACGACGGAATTTTGAAATTGGCAACTAATTATTTAAGCAGATAAATCAATAAAAAAAAAAACCTTCGCAAGTGGTATCATATAAAATGCGCATCAACAATAACAGCCAAAAAAAAAAAAAAAAAAGTCCACAATGGATGCGGCACATTTCTTTCGCCATATCAAAGGATTTCATTTATTATTATTTCTTTTTAAATTTTTTGTGATAGAAAATACCAATAGTCCTGCAAGGAATTGAAAAATGCCTTTTGTCTAAGCAGGTGGCGCAAAAAGAGATCAGGCGATTTTTCTCCAACGCAATGCAATTACGCAGATGTTTTTCGATTTGCGTTCTATATTTTTATAACAAAGGAGGGTTGGGATGGAGAAACAGATAAGAAATGACATGTTTTGATTATTTTGTAATTCGTACTTTTGATTTAATGTTTTGCAATAACAGTACTGATATAGACCTAAAGGCCAAATAAAAACGATTTCAAACTGTACATCTGCAAGTATGCCAAAGATAAAAAGCAAGTTAAAAATTCTCTATTTTTAGAAAAAATTTCGAAAACTTTTCGTCGTTGTCATAAGGTCTAAACTCTGTGTGAGAGAGAAAATCCCCAGAAAACGATCGTTGGAAAATCAAGTTGCGTCATTTTTTCATTGATTGGGAAAATCCACGCTTGCTTTGTTCTCAAAACAAAGCAATACTGAATCGTGCACATTAGAAAAATGGACGCAGGGTATGCGGTGTGATATAACATCACCACATTCCTTGTCTGAAAAATATTTGCAGGACTCCAGAAATATTTGTGACGCAAAACAGATTTTGTTGACAACTTTAAAAGTGGTCGACTTTTGTTACTCCATATATGGCAGTTACTACACGTGGACTATTTCTCTTGCGTCACGTATGTTGTTTTCCTACTAGTTCACTCCCGTTGTCTCCAAAAAAATAGTGCGACAAAATTCATTGATTGCCGTAAAACAAATAAAATTATACCCTAAACCATTATTATGATTACAAGGGTTTTAAATACGTGTTGAAAAACTACCTAAAATATGAATTTTGCCAAGATATTAAATTTATTTTTGCGCACGCAATTTCCCTCCAGCGCATTGATCTGATGACGTAGTTCCGGGTTGGGTCAGTAAAGGTGAATCACACGTTGCCTTTATTCACAATGGCAACGTCGTCGTTCGTGGCGTCATACGAATTTTAAACCGGGAGGGGAGACAGAACAGTCCCTTCCCACTAAGTTACATCTTGCAGATCGCCATCGACGTTTCTGAGCACCCGAAGTCGGAGTCTTTGCCTACAAACGAAGCCAGAAAAGCAGAACTGAAGGAACGTGACCGCCAGCACAGTGTGTCAGAAAGGGTGACTAATCCGTACCTTGTTTCATCAGACGGATGCAATACGAAGTAAAAGGGTGACTCTATTTCAGTATAGTCAGCAATATTCCATTTTACCACCACATGTGTAACGCTGACCTTCTTACGGATCAAGACCGGACCGGATCATAGGACTACGTTTATACCGAACGCCGATCACTATCTCACGTACTGTTGCTTTCCAACTCTTATTCGGAAACGCAGTTTTTATTACCATCAAAGTATTCGCGAAAGTTCCAGCTTAGAATGCTGGATTAATAAGTCATTTAAGTTCATGATCAGGGAGCTCTGTTATTTATTCCACTTTATGAACAGCGACTGAGCAGTTGTTTAGGTTCGCACGTGGTGGACACAAAGAACGCAAGAGACAATAGTCATTGTGTTAATAGGAGTGTCTCATCGTCTATCTTTACTTCAACTCATCACATCGGACTTTAAGGGATCGCGGTGAAAAAGAGAGACAACCAGCTTGCTCAGTTTTTAAACATAATCCTCTGGAGTAAGCGAAGAAATTTGGGGAGATAAACCAAATAAATATCCACATGAGCGTGCGACGCACAAGGCCAAGGCCGATCATAATTCCAAATGCTCGAAAGAATGTGGACTTGCAAACTCCACCCCACTTGGGGAATCTTACCCCAGATCTTCAGCCGAACAGCCCGCCTGTGTTCCCCTGTGCGACCCAGCACGAGGTGGCCAGGCTGGGCCAGTATATCCTCACCGAGCCTCTAGACGGAGAAGACGTATACCAGGCCGTCAATATCCACACACACGAGAAATTTATTTGTAAAGTAAGTATTGGGAATTGTATAAATCTCATTTCCTTATTTCATATGTCATGCATTTATTGCTGGAGATCTGTGTATTATTAAGGGAGTAAGAAAATGGATAGAAATGAAATATTGTGTGGCAATGATATTTTTGATAAAGAAAGTGGGTGACCGATTTACAGAAATTCCTTATGTCATGAATTATTTCCTCGTTTCGAAATATGTTCTCAAAATCAATACAAGATACTTATTGATTATGAATTATGAAGAATGTTATGCATGGGTTTTTACCATGTGTCAAATTCCAATATTTAGCAAAAATTACACAACTTGGGTTATGAAATCAGTGCCTGATCTTGTGAAATAACAGTCCATGGTGGGTCAGTTTTTGCCCATGAAGCTTTGGAATGACCAAGCATTTTTGTCCAGTCATGGTATTGCTGACCCAGCTCAGCTGAGCACACATATGTGCTTGCTTATGCAATCCTGGTGCTATGTATTTCACATATGCGTGAAAGCTCTAGAATTTTCCGACATAGCATCAGCAGATGTGTTCAGTGACATGCAAAAACTTGTCTCTTTTACGAGTGGCATGATTGGTTTATCTGTGTTGACTTAATTCTCGAAAGGGTACTTTGCGTTCAATACAAGACATAAGTTGGTGCTATAATTAGATATTGCATATAAAAAGTCGAGGAAAAAAATTGACCACCTGTAGAAAAAATTGCTTGTGAAAGTAAAGATATGAAAAGTATTTGAAAGGATGGTAAAGTCATTCGAAACAACCACAAATATAAATTTCTATGTGTGAAATAATTCCAGTGCAATAATTAATCATTAACTGGAATGCTTCATGCCTGTTAAATGAGACGTGAGGCAGGTGCAACCTTTTCCCAGCCCACATGGGAGAAAAAGCTTGTGTCATTGCTATTCTAAGTACCGTACCCATCTCTAATTAGACCATTATATCATAGCCTATGCTAATATTTAGGATGGTAATATTGGATTGTATTAGACAAAGGACATTGGTCAAGGATGATGTAGGTTTCATGTAGCGGTCAGTGTTTTGTTTCAAGGCCTGGTCAGTGTTTGTTCAGACCAGGCTGTAGTTTAGACAAAGAAAGATGTGGAGTCATCAGAGGTGAATGGAGTGACTACGTGCGCTGATGCTCGCATGTAGTCTGACTCAGGCTTGTGACTGTGATGGGGAAGTGAAGGATGGGGGTGGGGGGCATGGTTTCAAGAATTATCAAAAATGGATTGTTTTGAGACTTTGACAATTTTTTTTCTGCATTGATTATTACTAGGGGATGAGGGGATGTGGGCTTAGTTTTTTTTTCTCAAATTGGTGATCTCTGGTGAATAAATCCGAATAATTATCAAACATGAATTGTTTTCAGACTTTGAAAAAAAAAAAAGAATAGTCAAAAGTTTTTGGCTTTTGAGTTGGCTATAATGCAACCCCATGTTATAGCTGCTGAATATAAATTCCTGTAGACGCTGTTTTAGTGCTGTGTTACATGAATGATGCAGCACCAGTATGCGATACGTCAACCTTATCAGATCTCCTTTGGCTGATGTGTAATGTCACACCCAAGTGAATTATTTCAAGCATTTTATGTAAAAATGACCTCAGTTATCAACATGTGCATTTTTTCTAGTCATCTCTCAGCTTGTATATTTAGTGTTTTTATTTCTGCACCTGCATTGGCGTGAAAAAGGGATAGGGCTTCAATAAAAACAAATAATGTTGTTATTAGCAAAGAAATATATCAATAAATAAGGCCATGCGTCAGCTGGCGGTGGTTGTGGCTTCTGCCCGCACTTCCTCTCGTGCCTGTATTAGTGGAGAAGAGCTTTGACATTTCCGTTTATCATTGTTTTTCTAAACTGCCATATCCGCTGTTATTGTAGACCCTGAGGGGAAAGGGGGGCGTTACATCAAGGCATGGTGTAGCCGCGTGCTTCAGATGTTACATAAATGCCAGTTCTTGTCTGTCTGCATGTTCTGCGTCATGATTAAGTCATTGTTATTTGTTGCATTATTTTTTGTGCACACAGTTTGTATTGATAGCAGGTGCAGTATTTCATCAATTGTGTCTGTCTTTAAACAAAGAAGTGATAAAACATGCTATGATGTCCTTCACACAGCACATTTGATTTTACTCAGAGTGATTTAAAGTTCAAAGTGGAGCTTCATTTTGTTTCTTTTTCCTCCCTGTCCCTAGGTATATGATATCCATGCGTATCGCCAGCAGCTGCGAGCCTACTGGAGCGTGGACTACGATGCAGACTGCATCAACCACATCACGGAGATCATCCTGGGCGAGACCAAAGCCTACGCATTCTTTGAGAAAAACTTTGGTGACCTGCACACGCACGTGCGTAATGAACGTAAACTCAAAGAACGAGAGGCCAAGAAGCTATTTGCTCAAATCGTGCGTGCGGTGCAGAGGTGCCACGAAAACGGGATCGTCCTGCGCGACCTGAAGCTGAGGAAGTTTGTGTTTCAAGATGAATTGAGGTGGGTGGTAGTGCACTTAGGCCATTTATTTATTATTTATTGATTTATTTTCTTGCACAACACTGCAACAACAAATGAAACTCGGCCAATCAGATACCTGGGGGTCTGATATGCCTTTCATTTAGAAAACATCGGAGATAAGGGTGCCCTTATGTCAGTTATATTAGGTACAAATTTTAGATAAAAAAAAGTTCTATCCTTATATGGAGGATGGGAATTTTTCGTAAAGTTTTCTATTAATAAGTTGCTGTGGTCGAGTACAGTTTTCTTAGATAATTTACTCATTTTATTCCATGTGCACTCTTTTGTGTCGGTGTGAATCATGGAGTCAATGAAGGAAGTAAGAAAGTCTGGCTTCGGTTATGCCATGGATCTGTGTTTAAATGAAAGTGCAATGAGTGAAGGAGTGTAGCTGCCCTGTGGACCAGTCTCAGGTTCTTGACTCCACATGTAGATTGAAATTACTCTCATATTTTCACTTTCTCCGGTTGCCTTGGGTGATTACCTTCCTGAAATATAGTACAGGTAAACCAGCGAACCAGGAAGTAAGACCAGACTTTCTTGCGGTTCAGGTGGAGTCACAAATTCAAATATATACATATTTTTCTTCCTGGTTCAAATTTTTTACCGTTGCACAACCTACATGTTATCAGGTTTTGGTAGTGAAGTTATACTGTTCTTTTCAACGAGGTTCAAGTCCACGTTTTGTTGCATATGTGCCAAGGCAGCAATAAAATCAGACACACTAGTGACACTGAGCATGCTTTGTATTTAAATTAATAACATGTCACAACACTTCTCTGTGTGTGCTGTTAATGAGGGTCCATTACCAATGAGAGAATCAGTCGGGGTAACCACCCCAGTATAACAAGTGACACACTGACAGAGTGGTATATATTAGGATAGTTCCTGGTACCAGCTAGGGTGCAGAGAGAGGACAGTGTGTCCCTTTGTGAGCTTTCCCCTGTCTCCTACTCGTCCTATGTCATTACCTCCGCCTATATAATTACTGGGCCCAGATAGGAAGACAGTGAGGTTTTCATGTCTAGGTTAATGACATAGTGCGGGTCTTAGGTTTTTGAGTGGGAGGACGTGGACTGCTCTCTTGTTTCCTGATTTGTTTTGTGATCGTTTGCAGCTTCTTCACGTGAAAGTGAAAGAATTTATATGAAAATATCAGGCTTACATTGCTGTGCTATGTGTAGTTATGGAAAAAGAAAAATGAAATGTTATTATGTTTTCTCAATTGTTTTCCCTATGGCTTCCTGTATTGTTAAAGCTCAGAAATTACAGTTGAAACCCCCCTGAGTGCCCCTGGTGTGTTTAAGCAATGTCCTATTAGTCGTAATTATGTGACCTACTTTGTATCAAGGCGTAGATCTGGGCTTGTAGCAGTGGACTGACCTGCATTCTTTCTGTGGCTGCACCTTGTGTGTCCGTTTGAAAGGTTGGTAAACAAAATTAATGACTGACCATTTTCTGCGTTTGAATTTGTTTAAATGAAAAATGTATTGGAAGGCCTCATCACATGTAATTGAAATTTCTCAACGTTAGATTTTTCATGAATGTGGAAAGATATTTTAAAGAGCTTGTTCTTGTGGGGATTATGTGTCCTGACGGAGGAATGAGTTTCACAGAAATCAATTTTCCTGGAAGTAGAGGCGAGGAAGCCGGGGACATGAGTTGCTTAGTAACAAAACCTAAGACTTAACTCTTGTGGATAATTAGCCATTTGTCAGTTTTGATTGTGGAATTATGAAGTGCAAATACATCCTGTGGATGTTAGGCAGACTACACCGACATTTTTCCCCACTTGCTAGTACAATATTTTGGGATCCATTCGTCATATCTTTTTTTTGGAAGTAATGACACATTTACTAGTACATAAGAAGTGGTTCTGAGAACTGTCAATGGTCATTGTCTGTGTTTTTTTTTCTCCCCTTGATTTATCAGTTGGCAAAAAAAATCATCTACTGTGCAGCATAAAATGCTTGAACACAACCCTTGGAAAACGTCCAGTCATTTCCATGAAATATTATATGACACCAGCATCAGCTGTTCCATGGAGGCAGATAAATAGAGAATACCACAATGTTGATACGGCCAACTGATTTACTGTTGCCATCTCTTCCTGGCTGGATCGATTTCTGTTACTGTCGAAATGAGCTGGTGTCCTGGGATTCCGTGGGAGATTAATTCTCTCCCAGGCCGTTGGTCGTCATTAACTGTTTCGTTGTCTCTGTGTTTCTGATGTTTTAATTAGTAGGTCAGATGCAGCGGAGCAATTAATTTCTTAGTTTGGGAAGATGATTATTTGTATGCCTGCATGTTTCAGGCTTGAAAAAGTTCCAGTTTTTTTCCTGGTGAAACTTGCAGACCCTTTGGTAATTCAGAGCATTTTCCAATATATATGTCTTAATCCCATTATTTTAATGTTTTAATAGACCTCCACACACACAAGCACATGCACGCACGCACGCACAAACACACACACACAAAAAAAAAAAGTTTTAAAATTTTTCTGAGAATCCCGGATATAGATGCTCTTTAAACATGATACACAATAAAGCAATTGCGAAAGAGAATACAAGCAAGTCTTAAAATAGATATCCTGTGGGAAAGAAAATCAATAAACCACAAAAAAGTGAAAACAAATTCTCGTCTTAAAGGGCATTTCACTGGAAATATTGCTAAATATTTCGATCAATTTGTGTTCTAGTCACGTAAATCACTTTTCTTGAACAAAAATATACTGGTGAAATAATATGTTCATCCGGTGCTGTAAACACACCTGTTTTTAACTGCCAGAAAGGAAATAAATAGATTTTGGAAGAGTCTTATTTGACATCGGCATATCTGGTAGAGATAAAGGAAAAGCGCTCCGCTGTGTTTAAGTTTGGAAGTACTGAGATTAGTGCGCGTGGACCTGGACTCCTTTGAAAGCTGCGGAACACTGCTCACTTTATACGTGTCCATACAAAAATATGCCCTGCCTTTAGTACAATATTGTTTCTTTGCAATCTCATTTTAACCTTTATTTTAACAGAGTCCACACACACACACACACACACACACACCCCAATCCCCTCCTTATTGCTGTGGTTGCCAGTTTTATGGCTTGATTTCTTGAAACTGGGCACATGATCACAAAATATGCATTTCTCAGTAAAGAAGTGGTTATTATAGCAAGCTGTTAGTTTCTGTGAATTAAGGTAATCAGAGATGGTGATAATTGTGAGATTTTTTTTTCACCTCACCTGGAAGGAAGGGTAGGGTGTAGGTGTAAATGAGGTTTTCAAATAGGACCAAAATCAGCAGCAGGAAAATGTAATTTTAATCAGGATACGTTTTGACATGCAATCAAGACTGTACTTGTATAGTTCTTCTACAGAGTTTAGAATCCAGTTGGAGCGATTTTGATGCATAAAAATCTATTAAAAAAAAAACAGTACACTCCTTTTGGGGATCAGAAAATATAAAGATATTTGTAGTCGTATTGAAATTTTCTTCTTTTCTTTGCACCTGAGAAATTTTTGGTACATGAGTCAAGCCAATATACACCTATCACTGCTATGTTAATGGCCGGGCCTCCATGTAGGCATACTGGCAATGCCCCAATGTAAGCAACTCCAGGAAGATATGAGCTTGCAAGAGGTGAAGGCCTCTTGTCAGTCAAATATTTATAAGTGTTTCTATTGATGTTTTTCTCCATCAGCTATGGTGGACTACCTGGTGTGCGTGCGTGCATAAGGCTTTCATGTATCGGAAAGTTTTCCAGATTTTATCTCCAGTACTGCTGTTTTATTGCCAGGTTTGCTGTTTTTACCAGATATTACAAGCGCTCTTCACTGTGGCTGGCTTATACTGGCACCAACATAGCTATCATGGTCATCTTGGTTATCATGGTCAACACACAGTAAACAAATGCAAATAAATTACTCATTGCATGGAATGAAGATTACATGTTTGTGTTCTTATATCTTCTGTGAAATGGGACAGGAAAGTACGTGTGTGGGATATATATGGACAACTTCAGTATTTGCTTCTTCAACATTTGCTCATTTAGATATTTTGTTGCAAATGGATTAAAAAAGAAAGGGATGCTGTTGTGATGAAAGATAAATGGAGAAGCGTCTGCTGTTGTGTCGTGTGCACTGAGGCCATCAGAGTGCACCGTGGCGCAAAACCTCGGATCCATTATGTTGATAGTGCTGACCAGCAATACAAATCACCCCCATGACGTATTTATGATAAAATGAATGATGGCACGTCCTCCGTCATAGCTTACGTTTACTGTAATATATTCTCTGATCATTTGATGCAGACATGTGAGGTTTGTGTGGAGGTTTAGGGCGTGGCGTAGGTTGATGTGGCCGAGTGCGATATGGGTGGTGCAGAGATCCTCACTGCTGATAGAGATCTTACACATAGATATTTTGTGGAGGACACATTTTTGGGAATATGATAATGAATTTAAATGAAGAATTGCAACTGAAATTTTGTAGAAATGAAGAATAACAAAATGGTGCAAAAAAAAAAGATCAAATTTAACGGGATAATTCTCTCTCTCTCTCTCTCTCTCTCTCTCTCATTAAATAAACAATAGTTGGTTAGGATAATGTCACATAATTTGGTCTCATCTTGACCTCCAAATGACCAGCAGCAGCTGGTGTTAACTGCGGTCAGCCCCCATCAAAGGTCAGATAATTTATGGCCTCATGTACCCCCCCCCCCTCCCCCCCATATACATATTCAGTAAGTGCTGGACGCCCCATTTACAGGCAACAGACTGGATAATGAATGTTTTCCAGAGAATTCAGTAACTGGTTTGATCCAGTCTGCTGACTGGTTTTTGAGAGGAAATATATTGGATCTCAAAGTCTTGCCTTATTACGTTCCAGAATTTGGACTATGTTAAGAGTGTGCATAGAAAATGGCCACTTTATATGTGCAACCCTGTTGGATACATTCCAAGCTCGTTGAAAAGAAAAAGTATGGTT